TTCTCCCCTTGCCGGGGGGGGGCCCAAAGGGGGGGGGGGGGGGGTTTCCAAAATTTTCGCCCCCCCCCCCCCCCCCCCCCCCCCTTCGCAGCCTCGAAAGCAAGTTTTTCTAGGTTAAAGATTCGGGCAATCTCAGATATCTCGCCCCCTCCCCCCTCGGACGCAAACCTGGCTCCGCCTCTGACCCTTAGAATATTAGATGTACCCTTTTTAACTAAGCAAATCTGCTTACACCTATCACAACATTATTTAAAACTCAAAATCCTACAGTCGACAACAGATTAAACCAGACGAATAATTACCAATCAGAAGTCTTGATGTCATTCCAAGGTCTCGAGTGATCTTATAAATATTCCACTCGGAGACAAAACGATACAATTCCATTATTCCTGATAATTCTCAGTCTGATTAGGTGATTATTCATTTATTTTTACAACTTTGTTATATGACGTGATTCCTGGGATTTACTTAGCACTGCCGAGAGTTATATAGTACTGACAAAAGTTCTGCTGGCACTGTACAATATACAGATTCAACTTTACGGAAACTTCCGAGTATTGCCGAATGATATACTGATACTTTGCAACTCGTTGCTTTTCAAAACTTAAGAAAATCAATGGTTTATGGTGCCGTCAGTATTCTATTTCAAGCACATAGTCTTTAGGAATCTGTATCATCTTTACCGAGAGTTTTATCGTACTGACGCCAAAACTTTGAAACGAGTTGCTTTTCAGATCGTTGGAATTTCGAAGGTTTCTGCTGCCCACATATTTCTTTTTAAAGCACCAAGTCTTTGTTTCATCTTTAAGGGTTGCTGTCTGTAATGCTTGGTCCCAAGTAGATCTAACCAGATGATGACATGATTCCAGTATAGATTAATTAGCAACAGAAGACACACATAAATATTTTGCCTAGTTGTCGGACCGGCTTGCATACCAAGACCAAAACAACGCTTCGCAGATTGTATGCCAATAGACTAACAAACAACAGTGGTCCATCGACACAAAACGCTCTTGTCAGACTGGCTTGCAGATGAAAACGGTGCTTGACCCAAGGGTTGGTTGTAGTAGAGATTGCATGCACCTGGTACATATTTTGTCACTAACGAATAGTAGACATTTAAACGTTTCTAGTTACAGAGCGTGCTCGTGTAATGGCGTTCTCCACTTCTTCAAAACTGGGGATTTGACCTGAATCGAGGTCTGTTTGGTTAGTTTCCTCTCCATCCAACAGATGATATTCTGTGTCTTTACCCAGCCTGGAGCAGCAGGCGGAACACTGGTATACCAGCATATCACAACCAACCGAACATCCTTGTGGCACGGTCTTCCTCCAAACCGTACAGCAACCTTCAGGACAGCAGACATAACAGGACACTAAAAGAAGGAGCGTGAACGACAACGACCCAAGAACGCTCCACAAAATGACGTTATAATGCGACTCTTCTTCAATCGGTGCTGGCTTTATTTGTGCACTTTTTAAATCCTTCGGTTCATCCAGAAGCAGCGATTTAGTTGGAACCAATTCTTTAAAAGGATCGTCCACAAAAGATTCCTTAACCTCTTCTGCTTTCTCGTGGTTGACATTTTTACTGATCTTGTCGGAAACTTCCACAAATCCAAGTTCTTTCAAACGAATCGCTAAATCTTGAAACGTCAGGTGCTTTGCTTTTCCACGATCCCAATTCACCAACCTAACCAAACATGGCGTCGATTTCGTTTTCTCATTTAAAGTTTTGGTGTCTTTTTTCAACTGTTCCCAGTCGATCTGGAAGCGATTTTGTCTCAAAGCAGCTTCAACTTGGATACATTCTTCTGGCGTAAGATGATCGGCGACAAACTGCAGTTCCTTTATGTTCATGTCCACTGTCGCAGAGACAAACGTAGACGAAAAGTAAATAAACGCAACGACCAGAGCACATCCCAAAAATAAGCACCTCATACGTTTCATTTTCTTGGTTCTGTACTTTTGATATTTTTGGCGCTAATTCTAATGTGACGTCAGTGTGGATATGACGTCGTAAAATGTCTTCCACTGAAGTCCCTAAATATAAGTTTTGAAATTTTTAATGATGCTATAGAAGGAAAAGGTTGGTATAGGCCTTCTACAAGACTGCTGAATTATTAGATTAAAGGGGGTTAACTCTATTTACAGACAACAGTTAATTTTCTAATCCATTTTTATGGGAGATAACTCAATTTCCAGACTCTCAATTTACAGGCTACAGTTAATGTTTTGATTCATTTCTTCTTCATATGGGAGATAACTCTTCATAGAATAATAACAAAATCTACCATTCAACGGAAAACACAACGGAATAGGTTCTTGTTCAGCCTCTCTGATACCCACGCAATCCCTTTAATAAAATCCAAACATTGATGACCTAGATTCCGTGAGTTAATTATGGCAGCAGACTTGTTGAAAGGAAATGGAACCAGCAAGCATCATTTGATAATCAATTTACCAACAATGTGTGGCCCTGGGGGTAGTGGTTAGATCAGTGTCTTATTATCACAATCCCCGGGGGTAGACAAATTTTATCTTATTGTTGTAGACATGGATTCCATTTCATTTGTTTTGAAGCTTAGGGGGTAGTTCTTCTCAGGATAATGCACTGTGCTTAAAAAAAATTTCTCATTGCATACTGCATGGCATTGCCTATATTCATTAGCCAATTAATAGCAAGAATGGCAGGTCATGCTCAGTGTTTAAGACACCTGATACCACCCTACCTTTGAGTTTACCACGAAACCTACAAGTCTGTGTTGAAGGCGTTTTGTTTTTTGAAAGGGGGGGATTCAGCCTCTTTGCATTAAAGGAAGTGCTCACTCATCTGAAACACCTAATGCCATGTAACGACTGTGACTGCCAAGAAAGTCATTCTTACTCTTTATTAATAGGAGAAGCCAATTTGTGATTGAGTATACCTATACTATATTATTGTTTACATATTATTTACATATTGTTTACATCGACCATTCCTGGGAGTTCAGAGCCAAAATCCAACTCTAGGCCCCTGAATTAACAAGCTTGTTAACCAACTTGCCTGCCTTTTTGATCAATTAATATTTTGGTAAGGGTGGGTATCCATCTTTAAGTTAAAATCCATTGAAAGTATCAATATTTAGAATATTTGATTTGAATGCCAAAATAAATCCACCATTTTTAATTTAAATGTGAATTTATTAAGATTGAAAAGTCTTTAATTCAACACCACACCTTACATCAATAGTTTAAAGATTTGAGTTAATTTTAAAATTTGATTTTTGAATGCCCCAACTCCCTTCGAACAAATAATATGATAGACTTTAAATAAATTAGATATTTCAAATACACAATTTACACAGACCAGATGTCAAATTATAGGGTCTGAAACAACCCTTTTACTCTGGTATTTGTATAAGGTATGTTTGAGTTAAACAAAATAGGGCTGGCTCCTCTACTTTATAAAAAGAAGGATTTCCTTCTTGACTAAAAATTATTTTTGATTCCATAAAAATCCTACATGTCTTATAAATAATATTTACTTTTCCAGCTGATAGAGCTCAATTTCAGCTATCTGTATAGTCATCTAAATATTTACTATACCAGTTGATAGAGCTCAATTTCAGCTATCTGTATAGTCATCTAAATATTAACTTTACCAGCTGATAGAGCTCAATTTCAGCTATCTGTATAGTCATCTAAATATTTACTTTACCAGCTGATAGAGCTCAATGTCAGCTATCTGTATAGTAGTCTAAATATTTACTTTACCAGCTGATAGAGCTCAATGTCAGCTATCTGTATAGTCATCTAAATATTTACTTTACCAGCTGATAGAACTCAATATCAGCTATCTGTATAGTCATCTAAATATTTACTATACCAGCTGATAGAACTCAATTTCAGCTATCTGTATAGTCATCTAAATATTAACTTTACCAGCTGATAGATCTCAATTTCAGCTATCTGTATAGTCATCTAAATATTTACTTTACCAGCTGATAGAGGTCAATTTCAGCTATCTGTATAGTAGTCTAAATATTTACTTTACCAGCTGATAGAGCTCAATGTCAGCTATCTGTATAGTAGTCTAAATATTTACTTTACCAGCTGATAGAGCTCAATTTCAGCTATCTGTATAGTTATCTAAATATTTTATTATACCAGTTGAGAGAGCACAATTTCAGCTATCTGTATAGTCATCTAAATATTCACTTTACCAGCTGATAGAACTCAATTTCAACTATCTGTATAGTTATCTAAATATTTCATTATACCAGTTGAGAGAGCACAATTTCAGCTATGCTCAATTTCAGCCTTCTCTATAGTTGCCTAAATATCTGGTCTACCAGCTGATAGAGCTCAAATCCAGCTTTCTGTAGAAGCATCTAAATTCTGTAGCACATGCTTTTAAGCTTTCTGTTTGGTCTTCTCAATATATATTGTCTACCAATTGATAGAGCTCAATTTCAGCTTTCTGTTTGGTCTTCTCAATATATATTGTCTACCAATTGATAGAGCTCAATTTCAGCTTGCTGTTTGGCAGTTCAATTATTTAGTCTATCAACTGATAGAGCTTGATTTCAGCTTTCTGTATAGCGGTCTTAATATCTCATTCATCAGCTGATTACAGAGCTCAATTTCATCTTTCTGTGTAGGGGCCCAAAATAACTTTTCTACCAGCTTATAGATTTTAATTTCAGCTTATTGTACAGTCGTCTAAATATTGACTACACATTGACTACACATATTGACTATAGCTCATAGTCGTCTAAATATCTGCTCTCCCAGCTGATAGAGCTAAAATTAAGCTTTCTACCAATTTAAGTGTTCTGCTCTACCAGACAATAGAGCTCAATTTAAGCTTTCTGTATAGTTGTGTCAATATAATCTCTATCTCTAGAGCCCAATTTAAGCTTTCCGTCTAACAGCTGATAGAGTTGATTTAAGCTTTCTGTAAAGTTGTCTAAATATATGCTCGGCCAGCTAATAGAACACAATTCCTGCTATCTGTACAGTCATCTAAAAATTTGTTCCACCAGCTGATATAGCACAAATAAAGCTTTATACTCTACCAGCATGGTCGTCTCAATATAATATCTACCAGCCTCTGTATAGGCATCCCACAGAGCTCAATTTAAGCTTTCTTTAATGTTGTTTAAATGTATATTTTGCTAGTTAATTTGCTAGTTAATTTAAGCTGTCTGTGAGGTTGTCTAAATATATTTTTTGCTAGTGGATAGAGCTTAATTTAAGCTTTCTGTATAGTCAACTACATGTTAAGTATTTAAGCTTTCTATAGAGTTGTCTACATGTGTATTTTGCTAGACGATGAAGCTTAATTTAAGCTTTTGGTACAGGCATCTAAAGTATTATTTTTCAGCCCACGGAGCTCAATTTAAGCTTTCTTTAATGTTGTTTAAATGTATATTTTGCTAGTTAATTTGCTAGTTAATTTAAGCTGTCTGTGAGGTTGTCTAAATATATTTTTTGCTAGTGGATAGAGCTTAATTTAAGCTTTCTGTATAGTCAACTACATGTTAAGTATTTAAGCTTTCTATAGAGTTGTCTACATGTGTATTTTGCTAGACGATGAAGCTTAATTTAAGCTTTTGGTACAGGCATCTAAAGTATTATTTTTCAGCCCACGGAGCTCAATTTAAGCTTTCTTTAATGTTGTTTAAATGTATATTTTGCTAGTTAATTTGCTAGTTAATTTAAGCTGTCTGTGAGGTTGTCTAAATATATTTTTTGCTAGTGGATAGAGCTTAATTTAAGCTTTCTGTATAGTCAACTACATGTTAAGTATTTAAGCTTTCTATAGAGTTGTCTACATGTGTATTTTGCTAGACGATGAAGCTTAATTTAAGCTTTTGGTACAGGCATCTAAAGTATTATTTTTCAGCCCACGGAGCTCAATTTAAGCTTTCTGTGGGGTTATGTAAATATATTTTTTGCTTGGTAGATAGAGCTTAATTTAAGCTTTCTGCATCTAACATATTATCTCCCACCTCAAAGAGCTCAATTTAAGCTTTCTTATGGGTCGTATTTACTTCAGTGGCTGATAGAGCTCCATTTTAGTTATGTGTCTGCTGGTATCAGCTGCATAAATTGAGCTCTATCAGCCAGTGAAGTGAAATTTTTTTAATTTCAAGGATGCTGGACAATAATAAATATAAAAACCAACTGGAATTGTGAGGACATTTTATTTTCATGACATTTTTCTAGAGTGAAAAAAAAAACAAGTAATATTTATAATTATTATAGTTTATATTTACAATGACACGATGGATATAATTTAGATTTCACTTAGTTTATACACATTCTTTATATCTCATACATTTCCTATCCCATTTTCATTCTTAATCTAAATTCTATACGCCCAGTTCAGACTGAAAAAAAGCCCAGGGTTTTCAAGATTAAATCTCACAAGCTTCAAATCGACTTTTCATTCTTTAACGTCCATTTTGGAATTGAAAACAAGATCCAGGGTTCTTAAAAGAATAGTTTTACTTACTATCTTGCATTGTTCTCAAGATGTATAACAATCCTACTTTTTAATGACCTTTTTTCTGCCTAAATTTACTGCTTTCTGCACCTAAAATCACTTTCTAAAAATATGCAAAACTGCTAATATGAAACACAAAAGAAAATGGTGTAATCAGTCATTTTTGTTATTCTAAAAAGCAAGAAAATTTGCAAACTATATTCAATAATTGGAAAAACAATTTTGAAAAACCTTTTTGTTTTGAATTTGTTTCTTAAATTGAATTTTATCTTGAAAAATATTTCATCAAACCAAATTGAAGAGTTGCTATATTCAACAGAAATAAATTGTTTTTTCATAAAAATGTTTACTATTTAATTCAATCTATAAAAACTGATATAAATATCTGAGAGCTAGGAGTCTCAAACACTGAATTATGGAGTAAAAATGGTTGTTATACTCCACCGTGTGATTTAATAATTCAAAAGATGTGTTCTGGTTTTTGTATGTGAATCAGGGACATGAACCAGAAAACATACTTGAATTACAGCTAGCTAGTTGCTTAAAATACCTAGTTATAGCTGCTTATAGGGTTTGAGAAGCTCGAATTCAATCAACAAATCTGAACCAATCAGAACTCTTCGAATGAAAAAACGGCTTCACTTTAAGTTATGATATTTAGGGACACGTGTTTAGCAGAGCCATACCTAGCAATGTTTTTCTATTAGTCATTTGCCTTGATGTAGTTACAGCCCTGTATAGACCAGAAAGCCTTCTGAATTAGGGGTAATTATAAATATCTGTTACATAAGCCTGTTACTAAGTATAGCTTCATGCGCTGTACGATTTGAGACGCTCGAATTCGGTTTCTAAAACTTCTGCAGTCTTACGACAACCAATCAGAACTCTTAGATTGGCTTCACCTTAAGTTAAGATACCTAGGCTATTTAGAGCAAAAGGTGTAAGTTTTATGTTGCAGATCTATGGTTACCATGGTTATCAGAAGTCTTAAAAAAAAACAAAATATTTAGAACATAAGTTGCAAGTTTTCAAACTGAACCAAAGGAAATTCACACTTTCTGATATGCCATTGCAAAGTTCGTTCTGAAATACGACAGACTTTTGGCCATTTTTCATATTTACATAAAGTAGAAGGCATCAATCTGACTGATTATCCTGAATAAACAGAATTTATCTAATAAAAAAAGCACTCAAATCTGATTGTTATAATCTATACCTGAACATTTTTTAGTTTTTTTTTAGTCGTAGCTTAAAGCTTATCTCAACCGACATACGCTGAATTAAATTCAGGAAAGTCGTCTCTGAACAGTTATTGGTTTTGTAGGATACACGCAGTTTTGTACTTGAACAATTTGGCAATCATAATCACTTTCAAATTGCAACGTTAAAATCACAACACGCCATTTTCACAACAATTCTAACATTGGTTTATATATACTGGTATCTGATTGGTCATTAGTTTTTAATTTTCAACCAATCAAAATCGAGTTAAGAGTATTACCATGACGATTTTGTATGATGAGGTTTTAGAACTTTTAGTTCCTGGTAAAAAAGTAAAGGGCACTTTATTGCCATAAAATCCATGAATAAAAACTGTTTTCCCGTTTCTACCTTGAGTGAGCCTCGGGATCCGTGGAGTTACTTTCCCTTATCTTGTCTTTTGATTCGCTAGTACTGTCTGCGGGACTACAACCTTTTGATTTTGCACTTGAGGGTGAATTATCGTGACTTCGCGAATGTGTAGCACTTGCCGATGAGATAAGAGGAGGCGGTCCAGATAAACAAGCGGGGGAATTACTCTTGCTGCCTACATGATTAACCATTGGACTTGAATTCCTTGGAAAATTAAATAGCTGCATATCGGGGGTTCTCATTGACGGGAAACGTTGCTGCTCAAAACTCAGTCTTTCTCTTTCAAAGGGAGGTAATCGTTCGTAATAACGTCGAATTTCCATTTCACGTTCATGATCGCGCATTAATAATTGTTCTTTGAGTTGATCTTGTTCGAGTAACGACATTGGACGTGGCAGACCTCCCATCATCCTTTCTCGCTCTCTTTCCAGCTGAATACGATGATTTAAACTGATGTCCATACTTTTTTCAAAAGGATTCCACATGGAAGGATGAGCAGACGGGCGTTCGGAATTAAAATAAGGATTTGGAGCAAGTACCCGGGCTCGATCCAACATATTTAAACTGAGATGAGGAGCTAATTGAGCTCCGAGGGGATTCACTGGCGGTAAACCACCCAGTCCCAATAAACTGTTTCGTGATAACGCTAAATTTTTTTCACGCTCTGCACGTTCGGCAAACACTGCTAAATCCTCTTCCCTCCTTTCCTCCTTTATTTTTAACACATTGTTTATACTACCCGGTTCGTCATAGCGACGGTCACCATTAGTGTCTGTTTTTAACGAATCAATTCGTCCGTTTCTGATTGGGGAACGAGATCGTGATCTAGAGACACTTTGATGATTTTCAAGTTCTTTCATCCTATCACGAGATCGATCATATTCACTACTATTTAGTCTTTCTCGTTGTTCAGAATGTCTTCGTTCCCTGGAAATACAAGAAAATACATATTCAATAAATTTATCATACTTAATAATCACTTTTATTTGTTTGAAAAATCACAAATCACCATTGGACCTAAATTAATTTCGATCAGAAAAGACACTTCTTTGTCAGTTTGCTTCATTATTTCATGGACAAATAAATCTATGTCCATTTTATCACAGAGATTGTTAAGAGATTTTCTTAATTTAATTGTGTATCGAAAACTAAGTGTTTGATGACGTCACTAATCGCCAAGGCCTTATGTGATACAGTATATTTCGCGATAAGTGACTTCATCAAACTTGTAGTTTTAGTGGAATCGCAGGAACAACAGACGTCTGAAAATTGATGCTATCAGTGTCTCCAACATACATAAAAAATTTTAGAAAACCTCTTTACAATTCCTATAATAGAGTTTTAACAGATTCATAAATAAACCAGATTTACATTTACCTTTCTCTTTCTTCTTCTTTCCGTCTGTCCATAAGTTCCCGCTCTTTTTCTCTCTCTCTTTCTCTCTCCCTTTCCCGTTCTCGCTCACGTTCTCTTTCCATTTCTCGTTCCATGTCTGGTTTAGGCCAGGACGGGAAGGAAGGGGGTGCCCTATGTAACCTGTTCATGTAATCATGAGGGGAGGGGGCCCCATGGGGTTCACGACCATTCATAAATAAACTGTTCACTAAAAATACAAACAAAATATCAATGAGCACAATTAACAAGACTTGTTATGTCTATGTCTCCTATGTCGTTTTCACCTTTAGAACAACTAAATATTACTACTGTATATCAGACCTGTATATCACACCTGTATATCAGACCTGTATATCAGTCCTGTATATCAGACCTGTATATCAGTCCTGTATATCAGACCTGTATATCAGACCTGTATATCAGACCTGTATATCAGACCTGTATATCAGACCTGTATAACAGACCTGTATAACAGACCTGTATATCAGACCTGTATATCAGACCTGTATAACAGACCTGTATAACAGACCTGTATATCAGACCTGTATATCAGACCTGTATATCAGACCTGTATATCAGACCTGTATATCAGACTTGTATATCAGACCTGTATATCAGACCTGTATATCAGACCTGTATATTGAATACAAATCATGAAAGTCAATGCTGACTCTCTGAAAGAAATGTAGACTTCAAAAACATTAATGGTTTGCTGAGTCTCTAAAAATGATGCTGCAATGACAACCTATGCACAAAGTTACCATCATAGCTATGAGGAATGTCTTCAAGAGAATCTCAGAGAAAAAATATTTGCATAGTGGTTTGCTCGGTCCATCACTCACAAGTGAAATTTGCAAAGCTTTGGATTCTTCATCATCCTTAGCTGAGATGAGGCCATTGTGAGATAAAGTTTCTCTATGAGATTTTAGAGTTAACCAAATAAAATGCAAGTGCGAAATATATATATACTGTGTGCATCTAATATTAGGTTTAAAATACACTATATTACAAAAATTAACTTAATAGGTTTTACTAAAAAAAAAAATTCATTTTCTCAATCCTTTTAAGGAATGTTCTTACTGGAAAACATCTTGTTGACAATGAAATATTTTTTTCGTCTAAAACCTAGAGGCTAAAACATAGATTAGACCCACTGAAGGGTCAATTACAAGATAGTTATATAATATAAACACAGCTTTATAGAACAACAATTACTGGTTAAAGTTTTATACAACGTTTCGACATATTTCCCCCCTTCAACCAGTGATTGTCGTTCAATAAAGCTGTGTCTATATATAGTACTCACAATTACAATTAATATCATTTAAAAAATTTACAAGATAGTTGTGTTTTAGATCATTTTATGTTATGTGTTTTCACAAAGACATTAGTAAGATTTTGCAAAATTTGTGGATTATCAAAATGGTCTAAGAACAACCAAAGAATTGAGAAAATTGAAAAATGAAAAATAGAGGGATGGAACACAAACCTTTACCTAAACCGCCAAACATGGAATTCATATTAGGATAGGGCGCTGGTCTTTGATACGGTGTAACACCTGGAATTGATAAAATATTTCATCTATATAAGGTAAATATCATTCAAATACTATCATTGAGATAACAACGACCTTCAAAACGTTTGTGCTATGTAAGCAAAAATATCTGGAGCATTTACTACGATGACTTTAATGCCTTGATCAAATTAGGATGACATTTCACTATGACATTCTAATATCAGTTTAATGGCTGTAAAAAAAAATGTTACATGCACAAAAAAATCTTAATTCTGCTCCGTTAACATACATCAAGGGCTACTAACTCTCAAAAAAACTCTTTTGACGTCATGAAAATGATAATGAATTTTTTCTCTGACAAAAACCTCACTTTCAATTCACTGAATCAGCATTTAATATGAAATCTGAGGAATAATGATTGTCAAATTTTAACGTCAAATCAGAATGAAACTGTCATAATTTCATGGCCTTGTCGTGACGGCAGAAATCCAAAATATCCAAATCTTAAAAAAATTGACAGTACGGACAGAAACTGATGTACATGTATAATTTTTTATGCAACGAATTTGACATAAATATCTTAGATTTGAAACATATTGACATTTAAACGTCAAAAACATATAAAATTACCATATTCATGTTACGTCATAATTTTTATTGTCAGTTTTTAAACACGCCTTCATGTATAACCTTGACAGTCTCCGAGAGGTCATAAAGTCTGAAATTTTTTGAGTTTTACTTCCACGCCAGATAATGTGCAAGCCAAGAAGAAACTTTGCATATTTGCCCAATTTTTGTTTGTCCAGTACGATCTTTAGACAAGCCAAAGACCTTCAAGAAATGAACAAAAAATTTTTTTTTTTTAAAAAAACAACTTAGGTTTGCCAAACCTCTTGGCATCCATCAGGATTATTCGTACCCATTTACAACTGGGTTGAAGTGAATAATGAAGAAAGATGACTTATTCAGGTTATAAGAAGAAATTACAACCATCACTAGTTCAACGAAACCAACCATATGACATCATGTTAAGATTTTAACACTCTAACTGATTGTGTTACAGCCAACTTTGATGAAACAAATGTATTGTCATCAATACTGAAAATTCAAAGATTTGGTGTTGCCCAGGAGAATAAATGAAACTAAATACTGACCTATATGATTGGGATTAAGAAAACTACTGCTAGCTGAACTGTGGGGAATACTGTCCAATATACTTCTACCTTGAGACGCTGCAAAATAAAATTAAAAATATATTACTACACGATAAAAATATAATACATGAAGTGGAAATCATTTCAATATGCCCAGTTCCCAACCTGGGGTGTTTTCACCCCCTGGGGGTGTGGGACTAGTGTGTCAGGGGTGTGGCCAACTGGTACAGGAGAAGAATTTATTTTGAATTGAGAGAGTACCTCACATCATCACATGCTGGAAATGTGGATGAAACAAATTTTTTGGGGTGTGAAAGGTCCAGGTGATTGCTCCAGGGGTGTGAAGGCTGAAAAAGGTTGGGAACCACTGGTCTCCCGAGTGGCATTAGGCGAAATGGAAATCTGTACCAGTAAAACAATTCCGCTAATCAAAATCTCTTATGGCAAAATCAAGAGTAAAAATATTATAGTAGTGGACTGCTCCAACGAGAAGTACAATCAGGTGTTTCGGAAAGAGTAAGCATGGTCTGCTTCGCGCGCCACACCCGCCACTACTATCTAGATGCAAAAATTCCAAGTCCACATGATCAATGTTCACAGATTATCAAAATGTAATGCTAAAAATTGACAAAAATAGTAGGAAACTGACCAGATGCGAGTAAGGTAGCAGGATTGACAGCTAGGTCTGGGGGTCTGTGTAAAGTACCACCCGGTAATAGATGACTTGGGGGTCGTAATGGGTCACCCACACGCAGTTCACTCCCCTTGAATAATTCCTGCGGTGTTTTTTGTTGATGATGGTAAATTTCCCAAGCTACTCGGACGTGAGCTGCACACCATTTTCCTGGTTTCTGAAAAGTAAAATGGAATAAATTTATCATACGATGAAACATATTATAAAATGAATTCTCTAAATCGATTTGAGAAAGTTAAAATGATTGTAAAGAAGTTTTCTAAAAACTAAAACTAAAAAAGAAGTCTTTGATGACGTCACTAATTGCAAAATATACTTGTGTCAATCAAATGCGGCCCTTTGTGATTAATGACGTCATCAAACTTGTACAAATTGATGCTATCAATGACTCAATGTCCCAATACACATAAAAATTTAGAAAACTTCTTTACAATACAACAAAATAGATTGCTTGTTATTTCTTCACACCAATAACTTTTTACAAAACCCCCAAAAACTCAGTATTTTTTGACATATTCAGAATACCCTCGATGGTTAGCATCACCCATAAAACATCTAGTCTAAATTTTATCATATAACAAATTTTTATAAAATATTTTGAACAGCCCCTATAATCCCACCCCCACCGATTTAGTACATCCTCTGTCACCCTTTCTGTTGACTATACCCTGTGTAGCTTCGCCCCTCTTTTTACAAGAAAAACTCATAAACAAGCATGAAAAGAGTGTTCTTAATAATAAGCATTAATGTATATATAGTTTGCCCATCACTTCTTATCATTATGTGCCTGAGGACGATGGGGGGAGGGGGGGGGGAAACAACACGTTAAAACGTTGTATAAAACTGTAACCAGTGATTGTTGTTCTATAAAGCTATGTCTATATATAAATATAAACTTGTTGACTAAATGTTATCTAAAGTATCATGCTTATAAATTTTTTATGTTTTATTTTTTTTATAGTAAGATTTTATCTCTTCAACATGATTTTATGATTTTTAAATCTTTATCTATATAAATTACAATATTTTATATTCAGCCATTTTTAATACACAATTTATTATCCTCAACAAGTTTTTAAAAGTTTTTTATTGTCAAATTTCCAGATATTATCTCATCTCTTTAAACTTGAGATATATATTATAAGAGACACATATCAGACTTGTGAGAATTTCTGAATATTTTAATAAAACATAAAAAATACAGAACTGTACATTTATTTGGACTTGATGTTAAGATGTGTTGAGAAACTTAATCACAGAATGATACAAGGTGTTATTTTTGAGTTTTGAAAGTTTTATTTTGAGATAATTTTCAAGACATAATTGAGATTTTTGAGTGTCTACGTGCATTTCTTTCAAAGCAAATTATAGGGTCCACACTTCTAAGATTGTTTCTAGGATATCCTAGCTCTAAGATTGTTTTGAGAATACATGGCCAGTACTCTTCAAAAAGGAAAGTGGACCTTAAATGCTTGATATAATGAGGTAATGTCCAACCTGGGTCTCCATCTCCAAAGTTAGATTGTAAGTCTGCAAGGAACATAACTGCTGTAAGTGAAATCCTCCACAATAGAATAAAAGTTTGATGGAACAGACACTGCTTTCAGAATATTACCCTGCGCCTGTTTCACCTAGCCACTAAGTTTCCCCCTGTCAGTGATACAGGTCGCAGAGACTAACATGGAAAAAGTGTCAAGTCATTCAGATGGGACAATAAACTGTGGCCCTGTGATCTTCAGACTGTTTATGTTAAAAGTCCATCAACAGTAAATTGAAAAAGAGTGGGCTAATGCCTCCGTCCTGGTGAAATGAAAACCTCATTCCATTTTGTTTTATTTGAGTTCATCTGTACAGGAAGTAGTTAACAAGCCAAGAGAAAAATACAGCAGTAAATAAAATTATGCCGAGATGAGATGATAAGAAAATGGTGTGATGTTGTTTCTGCCATGTTAATCAGCTCGATCTCACATTCCGTAAATTTTAGAAGTGAATCAACCACAAGTTACACAGACATCAGTAACAAGAACTGTTATAGGGGATAAAACATGTAACAATGTTTCAGATGATAATAATTCTTACAACTATAACATCTAGTCATAATATAATTACTCATTTTAAATAATTAAATATGTGGACTCCCAAAAGGGGATGTTTATTGGCTACGTAAACTCTCAGAAGGGGATATCTGGACTCTAGAAAGGGGATAATTAGATATGTGGACTCCCAAAAGGGGATGCTTATTGGCTGTATAAACTCTCAGAGGGAATATGTGGACTTTCAGATAGGGGATACCTCCCAGATGTGTGGACTCTCAGAAAGGGGATAATTATTAGATATGTTGACTGCCAACAGGAGATATTAAACACCCAGAAGGGGATAATTATTGACTATGTGGACTCAAGGACAGATATTGTCTTATTTGTTAGCAAACACTCCAACCAAATCGCTACATTTAAAAATTTCCATAATACAAGACAAGTGGCTATTGCAGTCAAGGTATAAGACAAAGTTCGCAATAGCTTGACATCGTGAAGATGTAGTTTGTAATAGCTGACATTGTGAAGATGAAGTTTGTAATAGCTTGACATTGTAAAGATGAAGTTTGTAATAACTTGACATTGTGAAGATGAAGTTTGTAATAGCTTGACATTGTGAAGATGAAGTTTGTAATAGCTTGATATTGTGAAGATGAAGTTTGTAATAGCTTGACATTGTGAAGATGAAGTTTATAATAGCTTGACATTGTGAAGATGAAGTTTGTAATAGCTTGATATTGTGAAGATGAAGTTTGTAATAGCTTGACATTGTGAAGATGAAGTTTGTAATAGCTTGACATTGTGAAGATGAAGTTTGTAATAGCTTGACATTATGAAGATGGGTTCCTACATCTCTTACTTATACAATATACATCACAGCTTCATGAAAGATCATTACTGGATAAAAAACATCCATTTTTTCATCTTTTTAATTTTCTCTATTGTGTGTTTTACGTATGTTACATCTTGATTTAAACGCATGTTGTGTTCGTAGTTTTTTCCGCACATATTTTCTTTATTTTTTTTGCGTTTCTACTTGTTGATTAATACAGATAACGACCCGACTAATTATTTTTACAGGATCGCAGTTAATCTAAATTACCCATAATACAACAGAAAATGTAGCACCTCACAAATCGTAATGTACATCATTCAAACACACCACAAAAAACCGAGAAGAAAATAGCTGAACAGTGGTGGTTGGAATGCATGATTGCAGCATAAAAACTTCAAGATATGTTAAAAAAGGCAGTTAGTTTAAAGTAAAGAGCCATTTACCAGATAAAAACAAAATATCTTGAATTTAATGTCATCCATTTTGTATCAAAAGATGACAAGGTTGCTTGATGTTGATGATTAAAAATATCATCACAGATAGGTTATTGAAATTATTGAAATAATTTGGCGTTTTTTCTCGTGCAATCTGACATTTATTTAATACCACATCCACTTATTACATTTTAGATAAAGACATACTTGTGACATATATCTAAATAGTGAAGCACCTTTAAACATGTCTATTAATATATATCTTACATCAAGAAACCTGATCTAATAGATCTTAATGTTCACAAACAATACCTCTTTCATATCTTTGTCAGGTTGTTTTTCTCTGTTCAAATTCTGTCATTTTTTCATTTTTATCTTTCTTACAAGCCATTATATAGTCTACTTTTTTTTCATTTTTTATATCAGTTTAAATTACATCTTACTCCTTTTAGACGCTCGTTATTTTTATTCTCAATTTTATTTTTATACAAGATATCAGATTCAGATTGTGACAGTTTTCTCTTCCACAAAACCAAGACACCATTGAAATAGTTACATTGTAAAGAAACTTGAGATGGAATAGATCTTTGTATCATTTGACATTTCATTGACAGAAAACAATCACAATGGCTTTATTAAAAGAGGCGAGGCCTGTCCCCCAGAGACCAACGGATTTTAGATGGCCCAAGATGAATTTTGAGTATTTAGAGGACTTTATTTTCACTTCAAAATAAGACCTATCACAAGCTTTTTTTTCATGGCCCAATGCCGCCTCCCCCCCACTCCCTCAATATACCAACACCTATACTGTAGTCTAATATGAAGCAGATTGCCTCCAAAAACTAACTGATGTCTGACATGGCTGCTATGGTAACATATTTAAATAAATAATATTATGTTTATTTTGTAAATAATCAGAATGTAACAATTATACACAACTCTAGAATATATCACCTCCAGTTCAAAAGCTAAATAAACTATCAAATTTTTACTTTTTTTAGGAATTTTTTAAACAAACTATCAAGTTTTGTTTTTCTACATATTTTATAAAATGACAGATATCAGTTTTATACAGAAACAGATGCTCCTGACTCTCATCTCGTATTTATTTTGAATCTATACTCTCTGGCTTGACTTGCTAATCCCCTTTACATCCTCTAGGTTGGCTTGTTGGCCCTCTAAAAACCCTAGAGTAGACTATTAATTAGTTTCAGTGTATATATTATTCAGATGTAACAGGTTATCTGATTTATTTTATCAAGTAACACTGAGATCAATCCCCCAGTTCTTCTACTAAAATATATCTCTGGTATTTTCATATCAAGTTTTCCTCATTTTTGAATCAATACCTTCGGGCTTGACTTGCCACTATCCTTTACATCCTTTAGGTTGACTAAATTGACTATATTATGCTATTGCAGGTGAACTTATTACTGCCAAACTCATTTTATTTTGAAACTTGTCAAATTCTATTTTTATTATATTTCCTCCTTTTTATCTCAAAAATAAATTGAAAACAATTTGTATGGAATTATTCAGCAACGACAAAAACTGATGAAGAAAAATATTGAGTGTGAGGAAGAGAACTTCCACCTTATTACTAGATTAAATTCAGGAGAAAAGTTTATTTAGAAAACAGTTTTTACTCTTGACAGCAACATTGTGCTACAAAAAGATTGGCTGGTTTTATTGAATATAAACAGATTGAAAAAAAACATGGCAGACGTCAATTTCTGTTGTTTCTAAAGTGCAGGTGGCGAGATTTTGCACGGCACACTCAAAATACAGAAAACGGAAGGTATGTAATTATTTGTAAGTTATAGAAATGTCCTTAGCAACAGGATTTAAAACTAAATTTAAATTTAAACAAAAATTGCAGAAATTAGTTAGATAACTATAACAATATTCCTGTCGTTTTGGAATTAAATTTTTTTTTGAATGTCAAAGATATTTTTACGAACCTTTGGTTGACTGACGCTGGCTCCAGGAGAAGGTTTATCTCTGGAACTTAACGGTAACATCACCTGACCTGGTATTAATGTCTGAAATATAGCATACCAAATATGGTCAATTACAGAAAATCAACAGACGTCATGCAATACCTATAACCATGGTAATGGCAATCAAAAGTGAAACCAGTTAAAAAAGTGAAATTATAAGAAGCATTGCAGTGATATAAGACGTAAATATGAAATTCAAATTCTATTCAAGATTCTTGTTTAATTCTGATTGGTCGAATTTTTTTTAATTCTAAGGGCTGACCAATCAGATGACTGGAACACTAAACCTAAAATACATTTAAAAGAGTGGCTATAAATTTTATATCCCTCTGTTGAATCAAAATAAAGTTAAAAATTTAATGTATATTGATTCATTTTTTAAAAAGTTTTCATAAATATCATTTGAATTTCTAGATAGACAGATGAATGAATGAATGAATGAATGAATGATTAAATAATATAAATCAAGAATGAATGATGAATAAATGAATCTGCTTTCAGATGATTATTTTGTAATTTTAGAATATCTGAAGTTGAGAATCCAGGTGAGAATCAATTGGTCAGTCAAAAACAGCTTTATGAAGCAAAAAGATAATATAACACAAGACAATAATTATAGGATAAAACACACTTCTTTATTACATGGGTATATAATGTTTCAACACAAGTTACACGTGTAGTTATCAGATGAAATGGCGAAGTGTTT